TGCACGGGAAAGTGCCGAACTATTTTTCTGCGTCAACCGGCGGTATTTCCAATTAAAATTAAAAAATTGGGGGCATTAAGTGCTATTTTCCTAAATTATACAATTAAAAAAATATATTATGTTAATATTAACGATTTTCTCAAGCTAATAATGTTGACTTTCTTTGGGAGAATTCCTACGCCGCTGGGAGGAAGCAAAGGCTTTTCACTTCAAGCCAATCAACGCAAAACTCCGAGACTCACGATTGAAAGCCCTGGGAAATAAGTCACCGATTTGGAAGGCTCGAGGCTTACAATCCACCGAAGAGTTAGATTCCGAGTATGTCCCTTCCAAGACTAGTTCCACATACCGTTCGGCAACGCCAACGAGGTACTCGAAGGCTGGGCCCGTAAGCCCCCAAAAACTTTTGGAAGACTACAGTTCCTAGGAAATCCTGAGTCGAGATCCCGTCGTCCGACTTCTCTTCCAGAAATTCCAAACGATGGAAAACGACCGAGTTCGCTCTCAAGAACCAGACTGGGGAAAGCTTCGGCCAGACCATTTACCGAACATATCAAGCGATCACGGCAGGTTAGAGACATACAACCTCTACGTATACCATTCTACACAGGGGTGGAAGACCCCTTAACGCATCTTCACTCCTTCCAATCAGCAATAGAATGCAAGGGGCTCAGTGTTGAAGGGCAATGCCTGCTATTTCCATCCGCGCTTACAGGGGGGCATATTGGTTCTTCCGATTGGAACCATAAACGGTGGACTCCTTCGACGAACAAAAACAGATTTTCCTCAATCACTTTATGATCCAAACAGATCGTCTGTACTCTGTTGATGATCTGTACACGATTCGCAGAGAGAAGATGAGCCCTTAAGAGAATACGCTGCACACTTCAGTCACGAATACTCGAGATGTCTGGAAACAGACGATAGGGCAGCTTACAGCGCCTTCAAGAGTGGCCTTCGATCCTCACACTTTCGGTACCTCGTGCACAGTAGCAACTGACGCACCTATGACGAACTGATGAAGCAAGTGGCAATTCACGCCAAGGCTGAATATTTCAACTCAAAGTCCGGGCCTTCGGCTCGGCAGGAGGAACCAGCCATGAATAGCTATCCTGGGCAAGGATCACCGTACACCCCTAGGAGAACTAATGAACCATCGGCAGGACACAAACGGAAGGACGACTGTGATAATCGGTAGGGTGGCTCTAAGAAAGGATGAGGAAAATACGGTCGCAACGACCACCGTGCGCCACTGCAGAATCAAGACCGCGCTCAGGGTGGCTCTAAGAAAGGACGAGGAAAATACGGTCGCAAGTATTCACCTTGCTGAATACCACCGTCGAAGCCGTATTGATGAACGAGCAAGAAATCATACCGAAGCTGACTCACCGAAAGCCCAATCGGCAGGATAATTGGGATACCAGCAAATTCTACCGATACCACGAGTATAACAGCCATAACACCGAAGATTGCATAAGTCTGAGGAAGATCGTCAAACGACTGGGGAAATTGTATCAGTACATCGCCAAACCACCGCATGCGCCGGTCCCGAATGCGAATCGGCAGATAAACATGATCAGCATCATCAGCAGAAGCCCCACTCTGGCCGGACCATCTAACTGATCGGTAAAGCAATATGTATGGGCTGTGCACTACCCTCAAGTCTTCGGCATAGACGTCGACCGACACCGCAAATTTTCAAAGGTAGGATGGGAGCCCATCACGTTTATTGAAGAGGAGGAAGAAGGGATCCTTTACCCCCATGACGACCCGATGATCATTCGACTTGAAATCGCTGATTACGATGTTGGAAGGTTATTGATCGACACTGGAAGCTCGGTAAATGTAATTTTTTCTGATGCCTTCAGAGGATTGGGTGTAACAACCCGATCCTTAATTAATATTTAATTATTAATTTATTCCAATAAAATACCACTATACCCCTAGAATATTTTAATAGTATAAAAGTTGACTTTTTGACCGGGAAGGAATTTTGGGATTTCAGTTATACCATTGCGTAGACCGCAGCGAGATGAGTCCGTAAATACGTAGTGGACTCAAATTGGAGTTGTAAAGAAGGAGTTACGATTAAAAGAATTTCAGTGGCATAACCGTAAATATTTCAAACTTCAGTTTATATAAACGCAGAAATTTCTGGATTCGGGGGCACGACCAGCCGACTTTGGGAGCTGTTTTCTCTCAGCTCCGACCTCCGATTCAGGCAATACCAGTGCCAAATGAACCATGAAACTTCCCTCTTCCAGCCCCAGCCCTTTACCGCCTCGATCCGTCGCCATAGTAACCGGAAACAGCCACGAAACAGGCGGTGCTGGACAGTTTTTGACAGAACTTCCAACCTTTCCTTCTTCGTCGTCCGGCCACCAAATCGGACGAGTGAGGTATGGTTTTCAAGCTATTTTTCATGCTCTACCTGCTGGTTGTGTAGGATTTCAGAGATTTCAATCGTAGATCATTCGATTGTTTAAGTTAGGTTTCAGCAGATTTTCGGGTCACTGTTTAGGCCACTTTCGGCCATTTTTTGGGGTATGTCCAAGAACAAAAGTTATTCCAAATGGGGTATTTTACCTAAGTTAGGAGTTTGGCCCGGTGGTTTGGAGTTTTTCAGACCGCCAGGAATTGATAAAGCCACCCACGCGCTGCCAGCGCGTGGGCATATTGGTAGAGACTCAGTTCTAGAATGATCATTGGGTCGTCACGAGCACGTAGGAATTCACAGATGTCAATTTGGTTAACGTTTGAACCCCGAACGGATCTCGCATATTGTGTGATTTCCGGGTTCAATAGTTTCGAACCGTTGGATCGTAACCATTTTCGGATATGGTAATCTAGACTTGGCTAGGATTGTATAGTGTTTGACGGATCATAAAACGGAGTCCCGGATACTCCAGGAATGCATCAGGTTTACAGTAAACAGTTCAGTTATAGATCAAGAACAGAACAAAGAACTATGTGTGGCTTGATACCTCAGAAAGGGTACGTAGGGAGCCTACAGTTATCAGGCGCAGCCACGAGTTAAGGGCTCAGGGTTTATGTTACTGTTTTCAGGGCATTTTGGTCATTTGCGACCCACGGTTACCAGGTGTCAGTTTTAAATAGGTTTCGACCCAGATTCCAAAGTGAAAATTGGGTCAGGCCGTTTCATTGGAAATTGCCGACAGCATGGTCAATCGGCAGATAACACCTTTACTTAGTTTCTCCGGGGATCTGGTCCAGCCAGTCGGTAGTGTCAGTCTGCCCATCGCCTTCGGCGTTGCCCTTCGGAAATCGATGACCTATGACCAGTTTCTCATCGTCGACTGCCCCACGGCATACAACGTCATCGTAGGACGGACGACACTCACCGTAGTCAAAGCGCACTTGTCCCCCCACATGTTGCTGATGAAATTCCCAACCCGCAACGGCACTGGCACTGTCCGAGGAGATCAACTCAGCGCACGGACGTGCTATGAGACGGCCCTAAAGTCGGTAGCTTGCAAACCTCCGATGGAAGCAATGGCTGTGTAAGGGGTATCGAACGGTAGTGGGCCCATAAACGACCCAATGGAGGACACGCCAACACCGCAAGCACAATCTGCCAAAGAACTGGAAACAGTAGTGTTGAATGAAGAGCATCCCGAACAGTGCGTGAAGATCGGCACCACACTCAGCCCCCACCTTTTAGCACAGTTTCTCGAGTTCTTACGGCATCACGTTGAGGTATTCGCCTCGTCCTACGAGGACATGCCAGGCATATCTCCTGACGTCATCAGCCATAAACTTAGCATCTCCCTCGCCTATAAGCCCGTCAGGCAGAAGCGTCGTTCGTACGATGCCGAACGGTATGAGGCCATGCGTACCGAAGTTGACAAACTAAAAGCCATCGATTTTATCAGGAAAGCTACGTACCCTGTATGGCTTGCCAACTTGGTAATGGTTCGGAAACCCAAGGGTGGATGGTGAATGTGCCAAGACTACACAGACCTAAACAAGGCCTGTCCGAAGGATAGCTTCCCGTTACCTAGGATCGACCAGCTCGTTGATGCGACGGCCGGTTACGAACTACTCAGCTCCATGGACGACTATTCAGGATACAACCAGATATTCATGCACCCTCCCAACATCGAGCATACGGCATTCATCACTGACCGTGGATTGTACTGTTACAACGTCATGTCGTTCGGCCTGAAAAACGCAGGGGCAACATATCAAAGGCTTGTCAATCGAATTTTCGCTAAACACATCGACAGCATCATGGAGGTGTATGTCGACGATATGTTGGTGAAAAGCCGAACGGCAGAGGAGCATCTGGATAAGGCATCAGTGTGTCTGCGGGTAAGTTTCTTGGGTTCATGATCAGTTAGAGAGGGATGGAATAAAATCCCAAGAAAATCAAGGTCATAATCTACATGGAGAGGCCAAAAAAGCAGGACAATTAGAGCCTTACCGGGCGTGTCGCTGCCTTAACCCGCTTCATCTCCAAGGCTACCGATAAATGCGTACCGTTCTTTAAAGCCTTGAAAGGGGGCAAACAGAATATTACGTGGACCGCCGAATGCAACAAGGCATTTCAAGACCTAATTAACTACATGAGTAAAGCACCGCTATTGTCAAAAACACTTCCAGCACTGTCGTTAGCTCAGTGTTGATACGAAAGCCAGAGAAGGCAGAACTACCGATCTTCTATGTCAGCAAGGCGCTGCAGAGCTTCGGTATCCCCCCTTGGAACAGCTAGCTCTAGCCCTCGTCGTCTCAGCTCGAAGGCTCCGCCCATACTTCGAAGCGCACGAGATCACGGTTCTAACCAATCAACCCCTTCGGCAGGTACTCCAAAAGCTAGAAACATCCGGCCGATTGGTAAAATGGGCGATTGAGCTCAGAGAATTTGACATACAATTCAAGCCCAGGCCTACAGAGAAGGGTCAATCTGTTGCCGATTTCATTTCCGAGCTTACACCTACGGTACCATGAGAACCTGCCATTTCAGATGCTGATGCCGGAAAACCAGAAAGGCAGAATACCGAAAACCTTGATTCTTCCGTTCCTGTATGGATTCTGCATGTCGATGGCTCTTCAAATCAACAAGGTGGTGGGGCAGGTCTGGTGTTGACTACTCCAGACGGAGCCAAGGTCGAGTATGCCCTTCGATTCAACTTCAGAACCTCCAACAATGAGTAAGAGTATGAGGCTCTCTTGGCCGGCCTTTGGCTAGCCAAGAGCATGAGCGCAAAACAAATCAGCATTCACAGTGACTCCCAGCTCATAGTGAATCAGATAACGGCAAACTTCGCAGCCAAGGATGCCTCTATGTCAGCCTACCTATCGGCAGCCCACCAACTCCTACAAAAATTCCAGGCCTACGAGATTTGGCAGATCTCCAGATCAGAAAACAGTCACGCCGATGCACTCTCACGTTCGGTAGGTAGGCTGACATTACCTACCGAACGGAAACCTTTGCTCCAAAGGCGAATGAGGAAGCACTCGCATTAAGCCTTGACCTAATCGAAGAACGCTGAGCGCAAGCCAACCTTGGGAACGAAGCTTACAAATAGTGCGTCTCTCGGTACTACGACTCAAGAGTCAGATCCCGCTCTTTTCGAATCGGGGACTGGGTTATGCGAAAAGTCTCGCTGGCAACTAAGAACCCCACGGAAGGAACTCTCGGACCTTCCTGGGAAGGACCTTACGAGATCATCGGCATCCTCCAATCGGGAACCTATCGCCTCAGAGACTCCAACGGCAAGACCCTCAGTCATCCTTGGAACGTCGAACATCTGAAGTATTATTTCAAGTAGTTCCCTAGCCTACGGCAGGTTTTAATTGTAAAACGAACTCTGAACTTATCTTTGCCTTCAGCAATATTTAATGAAAAAAAATCCTTTGGCATATATATTCGCAACCTTCAATGTGTTTATTTATTTCATTAAATAAAGAGATACGGTAGGGACCATCGGTCACAGCATACTACTCTTATAAACACTTTCTAACCTTCGGCAATTAAACACTTAAGTCCAGTATCCTACCGATTAAAGGTTCACTTGGGAGTTGTTCTTTTACTAGTCTTCGGCAGTTAACCAATCATTTAGCCCTCGGCAAATAATTTGATTAATTTTCAGCTTCCTACCGATTCAAAGTTCACTTTGGAGTTATTCGTTGACTAGCCTTCGGCTAATAAGTTTTTATTTTTCCCTCGACAAGTTAAAACATTTAGTTTATTTAGCCCTCGGCATTTAAAATGGTTAAGTCTTAAGTGACTTACCGATTGCAGGCTTACTTGAGTTTTTAGTTTCAACTAGTCTTTCGGCAGTTAACCTTTATTGAGCCCTCGACAACTAAGACAGTTAAACTAACAACTACCGATAGTGAAACCACACGAACAAATGTATAGAAGTTAAAACATTAAATAAAAAGATGCCCTCGGCATCAAGGTGTTCGGAAATACTATCTCATGGCAAGTACAAAAATACATTAAATAAATTATTAAAGATCAGCATCGGCATGAACTTCTTCGGCATGGGCAGAGCTTTCGACGGCAGGGACCTCTTCCGAGGCGTCCTCCCCTTCATAGTCTTCAATCATCTCCTCGGTGAGACCTTCCGGTTGAGGAGGAGGATCGGCGATGAAGTTAAGGTTCAGCTTCCGCCCAGGATTGTACCGCTTGAAACGGTAAAGCAGATCCGCCATCTCCAAGCCCAGCTCCTTGTCCAGCAGGATGGAGAACTCAGTCGACAAACGATAGCTTCTAATCGCCTCCTGGACGGCAGCATCGATCTCCAAAGCCTTGTCTCGCTCTAATTCCTCCAAGGCCACATGAACCGCCTCCTTTGCCTCCTAGGCTTCCTTAGCCACCAGCTATGCACCCTCCAGAGCCGCCGTCATCTCAGCAAACTTGGCTTCGTAAGCTTTGACTTGCCGTTCTGCATATCCTTGACGAGATGAGCGTGGTCTTGGAAAGCTTTGCCAACCTCAGCAACCTTGGCCCGGCCATCCTCGTAGGCCTTCTTGGCGCGCTCAGCAGCAGTGATGGCCCGCCGCATGCACAGCCACATGTCCATCGAAGCCTGAAAGACAAAGAGAAGTCAGTATGGTGTTGAACGGTTTTTTTTTAACAAAAAAAAAAGAAAAAAAAGAAAAGAAAAAAGAGCGGAAGAAAACTTACCGAGGCTTGGAGACGGAAGGCGCGCCCTGCTTCCTCCCGTAGGAGCTTCTTCGGCAGCTCCTCGATCTCGGACAGCTCCATTTGCAAACCAAAGATCATGTGGTTCGCAAACTGGACTGCCTTCGACGGACACGCAATCGTGATTGGCTCCGCCGGGTTCTCATCATCCTTGGCGGCAAGGGTAACCCTCGGCACCTCCTCCTGCCAACTCCGCTTGGGCACCAGCTCCGCTCCAGATCCACCGTCATCGGCCTTTTACCTTCAGCCTTGGAGGAGGAGGCGTCGGTAGTCTGCCCCCGCCTCGGCGTAGAGCCGACCGCTGCCGCACCAACAGCAGTTCACGAATACTCGAGATGTCTGGAAACAGACGATAGGGCAGCTTACAGCGCCTTCAAGAGTGGCCTTCGATCCTCACACTTTCGGTACCTCGTGCACAGTAGCAACTGACGCACCTATGACGAACTGATGAAGCAAGTGGCAATTCACGCCAAGGCTGAATATTTCAACTCAAAGTCCGGGCCTTCGGCTCGGCAGGAGGAACCAGCCATGAATAGCTATCCTGGGCAAGGATCACCGTACACCCCTAGGAGAACTAATGAACCATCGGCAGGACACAAACGGAAGGACGACTGTGATAATCGGTAGGGTGGCTCTAAGAAAGGATGAGGAAAATACGGTCGCAACGACCACCGTGCGCCACTGCAGAATCAAGACCGCGCTCAGGGTGGCTCTAAGAAAGGACGAGGAAAATACGGTCGCAAGTATTCACCTTGCTGAATACCACCGTCGAAGCCGTATTGATGAACGAGCAAGAAATCATACCGAAGCTGACTCACCGAAAGCCCAATCGGCAGGATAATTGGGATACCAGCAAATTCTACCGATACCACGAGTATAACAGCCATAACACCGAAGATTGCATAAGTCTGAGGAAGATCGTCAAACGACTGGGGAAATTGTATCAGTACATCGCCAAACCACCGCATGCGCCGGTCCCGAATGCGAATCGGCAGATAAACATGATCAGCATCATCAGCAGAAGCCCCACTCTGGCCGGACCATCTAACTGATCGGTAAAGCAATATGTATGGGCTGTGCACTACCCTCAAGTCTTCGGCATAGACGTCGACCGACACCGCAAATTTTCAAAGGTAGGATGGGAGCCCATCACGTTTATTGAAGAGGAGGAAGAAGGGATCCTTTACCCCCATGACGACCCGATGATCATTCGACTTGAAATCGCTGATTACGATGTTGGAAGGTTATTGATCGACACTGGAAGCTCGGTAAATGTAATTTTTTCTGATGCCTTCAGAGGATTGGGTGTAACAACCCGATCCTTAATTAATATTTAATTATTAATTTATTC